GGTTGTGGGGCCCACTCAAAAGGCATTGAAATTAATACAGTTGACTTAACTTTACAATTACCGACTCCAAAGCTGGAGGAATTTCGCATTATGCTGCTTGAATTCGCTAAACGCAAACGTGCAAGCCGCCGCCAATTAGAATCCCTAGCTGGGAAACTCGCTTGGGCATGTAGAGTCATCAAAGGAGGGAGAACTTTCCTCCGCCGCATTCTTGACCAACTGCATTCCCTCCGCAAGCCTACTCACAGAGTTATCTTATCTAAGGAATTTGCCCTTGACATTGATTGGTGGCTGCGCTACCTGGCAGTTTTCAATGGTACCCACAAATTTATAGACCCTCGCCCTATTACCGATGTACATATAGATGCATCCAACCTTGCATCTGGTATTTACTATCGTGGTGATTGGCAATATACTGCATGGGCCCATGACTGGCCATCAGCGCACCCACTCCACATAAACCATAAAGAAGCCCTCTCAGTCCTGCTGGCAGCACGCCGGTGGGCACACAAGTGGCAAGATTGTACGGTTCACATTTACACTGACAGTCAGGTGGCCATGGCCAATATCAACAAAGGTACATCCCGCAATGCACTTGTCATGTCTGCACTCCGAGAACTGTTTTGGCTGTCTGTCACCCACAATTTCCACATACAGGCAAGCCATGAAAAACATACTCAAGTCACACAATGGAAATGAAATGACACACATAGCTGTACAAAGTTAACCCAATGCGGCTATTTGAGAAGATTACTGCTCACAGTATAAACTGACAAATGTGTTTGAAAATAAACTTTGAACAGATCTAATTACCATACAGTGACTTCAAACAAAGGTCAAATATTAACTAGAGTAAAAACAAAGGCATTTTTCTATAATGAACTTAAGATGGCACTGGTTCCAATAAGATGAAAATGTATACATAATCACACAACAATGGAAAATTCCAAAGGATTTCAAAACACCTATTACACCATAGATTTTCTCTATAAATCCTGATACAGGTTAGGAGGATTGAATTTCAAAACATTAAAATTTTCTCTAACTAAAAAAAGCTTTCACAACAATTACGTTTTAACTGAAAAAATAATTACTACATATCTAATTATTTATGCATGTAAAGTGCACCAATATTGAACTTTGTTATCCTTACACCTTTGTTTATAACATATATAACTTTGAAACTGATCGGGTAAAAATTACTTGAGTTATCGCACCCACAAGAGATAACCAACCAGTAGGCATCTCTCATTAATTATGCAAGCAAAATACACCAACATCGAACTTGGCCATCTTTGCATGTTTGTTTATAATATATATAAATTTAAAACCGATCGGGTAAAAATTACTTGAGTTATCACACCCACAAGTCACGCCAACAACAACAACAACAACGACGCCGCCAAAATCTTCCCCTTACTATACCTTCCCCTTCGTTTACACTACACTACGGGCAAGGCAAAAATGGCCAGAAGAGAGAGGAGGTGAAACCTTTTTATCACCACCACAAACACATTATAGTATTTCCCCGGAGGTATTGGCCTATTTTTAAAATAGTTACCTGTTCCTCATCTTCTTCTGAACTTTCCTCTTCAATTTCTTCTTCTTCATCTTCTTCTTCCTCCTCCTGGTGGCCACCAGCACGACCCCTGTAATAAGACAATGCAGTACCTTATAACAAAAATTTGTATTTTTTTTAACAGCGCCAATAAAGCAAATATCTGTTCTATTCATATATATCCATAATAATATACTTTATTTAATGAGGGTAACTGTTAAGCCATAGATTTGTCTCACACATACAAAAAAAGTTAAATAGAAAAAAGTTCAGAAAAACTGCCGTGTGCTGAGATGGATACACATTAAAAATTAATTCAAAATTACTTGTACTTGAGATATTATAACTGATATGAACAGATTTTAGTGTAAGTCTAATAAGCCATGCACGACACAGTCCCCGTTAGTTATAAAATTAAAGATATACAGTTTTGTTTATAGTAATATAGCTGGAATATAACCATGTCAGGAATATGATTATTTTAACATTAAAATGATTGACATTTGTATCTGATCGTCAAACAAGTACTTGTCCATATTGAGAGATATTGCTCTGGAACAGCATTCAAAATCAGCCATTTTGAATACATGTATATATCTATAAGATGATGTATAACGAATATAGAAAATTTGAATATAATCAGTCAAAGCATTTAAGAGATATGGCTCTAGAAGGCCAATCATTAAAACAAAATGGCTGCCAGTCAGCCATTTTGAATCCAATCTGAAAAATAAAATGACGTGCATGAAGAACCTGTAATGTCTTGGTATGTACCAAGTTTGAATGAAATCCATCCATAAATGCTTGATATTTGATGATTTTTTAGCACAAAAATTACCACCATTCAGCCATTTTGAATAGGATCGTCAAACCAATATATCTGTCTATCTATGACATGATGTATAATGAATATTTAAAATTTGAACATAATCAGTGAAAGCAAGTCAGAGATACATGTATGGCACTAGAACCACATTCATTAAAACAAAATGGCCACCAGTTGGCAATTTCTAATCTTATCTGAAAAACAAAATGATGTGCATCAAGGTCCTATAATGTCTAACCTATATACCAATTTTAAACAAAATCCATCTGTAAACAGCCGAAAAATGTTTGATTTTGATGATTTTTAGCACAAAAATGGCCACCATTCGGCCATCTTGAATCAGGTCGTGAAACGTGCATATGTATAATATCATGTATGATGTATGTGTGAAGTTTGATTGTGATTGGTCCAGGCATTTCTAAGATACACACACAGGCGCACGCACTGCATCCGAACAGGGACTAATAAGGTCTGTAATATCTATGTACCAAGTTTCATTGAAATGTGATTAGAACCAAAAAATTATGAATTACTATGCTAATTAGAGAATTAATATGAACAAATTTTAACCCGAAATTAATCAGGCCTGTCTATTGTTCTAGAGCATTTATGTACCAAATTTTATTCAAATGTGATGATCAATACTTGAGATATCAGTATTAATTAATTAGATTAATTAGGTGATTAAGAAGCATAAATATTTACCAAAAACTAATAGGGTCTCTGCAAAGTCCTAGGTTCATTAAAATGTGATGATGAGT